GGACAGCAGGTGAGGGTCACGGAGTGTCAGGGGTAAGGTCACATTGTCCTAAGGTCTTGTTTGACAGGGTATGGATAGAAGTGCCTGACAAGTCTCTGACCTATATGAACATTAAGGCTCAGTCAGCAAGTTCAAGTAGCAGTGGGAAGATTTGCTCCGACTGTCCATGAAAGAGTAAAATGTCATGTGACAGAGGGAGAATAATGGATAGTAGCAGGCCGGCACATGCTCATTTATATTCTGGGAGCTCACTGCTGTGACATTTTCGTCTTCTATTATAATTACACTGTAAACGTGTCAAATGAAATTTTTAGTTCAATGGAATTATTTGTGGTCAGGCATGCCCTTGTATTTTAAAAGACTACATATAGGGATGGGCCTTTTGTGGCAGTATCTGCGTACATTTTAAAGAAATGACTGCAAAGAAAAAAAAAAGTTTTTATAAGATATGGTGAGCTACTTGATGATGTATCAGCCCTCCTTCCAGGTCTTGGGTCCTACTGTGTTCATTAAAGCCGTTGTCTTTTTAAATTACTTAAATGCTTTGTATCTTCTTTTATGTGATGTAAACAAGCCCCTAAAAATAATCAGTGGTCAATGTCAGGCTCTCTGGCTTTTTATTAGCACTAGCATGCTAATAAAATGTGCAGCACTATGTGCAGCAGGTCTTTTAGCCGAGTTTTTTTAAAACTTTACAATGTAACTGTAGCCCAACGGCTCGTGGTTCACCAGACTCAAAATATTTGAATGCTTCAGAAAACAATCATTTAAAGCTAACTAATATTTGAATGGGCACATGAAGCCTAGTCTGTTAAACTTTGTAAGTCCTCTTTACATGGATTGGACCTGAAGTGGGTTTATATCAGTTTCACAAAAAAATAGCAAAGCATTGTGTAAAGATATGCCAGCAGCTGATATGTGCATAACATGCAAATATTAAACTGGATAAGCGTATTTACTATCTTAGTTTAGTTTGTTACTAAGCTAACAATTGCTAGTTGTCACTGAACACAAAGCTGACACTATAACGATAAGTTTGTGTTTTAGTCATAAACCAAAGCAGTGGCTGAATGTGAGTATCATCAAAGGAGAATTGGTTAAATACCAGGTTCAAATAGTTCGACTATAAATACCTGTACAATACTTAATGAGATTGTGGCGGGGCGTGGTTTGCGATGCTGTGGCAGGTGCAATGGACGCACCTGCGTGGCGTCTACAATCACGCCTTGCCGGCTTAAAAGTCTGGATTTTGAGTTAAGTTTGTTGTTGTTGTTATGTTGAGCTGGCAGCGGGAGAGCTGCAGCTGTGCATGTCGAGCAACCGTCATTAGTGAAATACAAATGATCAAAATGCCATTAGGTCTGTCGTGGATATTATTGAAATGATATTTCAGTCTGGACCAGCAGTGGGATTAGACCTACAAACTGACTGCTTTTGCCATCCCTAGTAAGATAAAACTAATAAAAAGGCTTAAATATGTTTAAATTCACCAGTGAAAATTAAAATGACATAAATATTTGTTGAATGCTCTCTGGTGATCTTGATTATTTGAAAAATAAATATGAAAGGATATCAGCCTGTATAAAATTCTTGCATTGATTTTTGTCAGCGAGAACAGCTTTTGGAAACTGGCCTACGATTTGAAATCCAAAAATAACAGAGAGGCCTCTGGAGAGGCCAAGTCTTAACAGCTCCCACTCTTCCCTGTTTCCTCTATATCTTAATAGCTTTCCATTGAGACAGTGATGAATGTGTGAACGTTATCTACATGGTGAGAAATGATGGGATGTGTATTTGAGTCTGCTGGGGGGGGACAGGGAAAGGTATCTATATGTGTCTACGTTTGTTTGGATCAGCTCTGGTAAATCCTCAATAACATCAACATTATATACAGTATGTGTCTTTTGAATCCTAGTGAATGATATCAAACTGATGGTTATGTCACGGCTGGCTGTGTGGCTGGCAGAGTTGGACCCAAACGCAGGACTGGGAAACACAAAGGAGAAAACTAAAAAGTGGCTTTATTAACTATAACAAAGTACAAAACAAAATGAGGAAAATCAAACTTTCAACTTAACTGGGAAAACGTGCTGCAGAAGACACAACCATGATGGATGATGTAAAAGAGAGCAAAGAGAGATTCAGACAATATAGATGCACCAGGTAATGAGGGAAATGGGAAACACCAGGGAACACAGCTGAACACAATCACACTAACGAGACAAGGGGTGCCAAAACCGAACACAACACACAGGAGACGAGGAACCATTAAAATAAAAAAAAGAAGTAATAAACAAAAATAATGCCAGGACTAAGACGCCAACTTGACACAGTGACTGAAGATAAACAAACATGGCGACATGACTGACTGGGGAGACAGAAAGGGAACATAAAAGATAATAATTAAACATTACATAACCTAATGAGGAACAGAGACTGGAAACAAAAGGAAACCAACATAAAAAAGAAACCTCGAACCACAATAATCGATATTAAAACTCAGAGGCACTAGGAATATAGAACATGAACAAAGGACTCAAACACAAAACTCATTTTAACCTAGAATGAACCTAAAGACCTACAGAAGCGCAGAACTATAGTACAAAAATAATCAAAAATGAGAAAAATCCCAAAACATCCTAAAAACTCAAAACCATGACAGGTTGACTTGCTTGCTTGACAATATTTACCTTTTATATGTCACGTAAAAATGGCCTTTTGTTTTGACATGCAGTATGTGAGTACAATCAGTGCTTCAGTAACTGTAACTCTTCCTCTGTGAACTGCTTTAGTCTCAGCCCGACTGATAAAGGTCAGGCTGCCATTTCAAAGTTGTACAACAGCCGCTTTGCCAGAGGAGAAAAGAACCCCCCACCCCCACCCAAAGAACGCTTAATACAGTATTGTTATCTTTTTTCCTACACTACAAAAGTTTACTTGGGAATCTTCAGGCTAACTAAATAATAAATAATGAAATAAAGACTGTTAGCCTTCACTGTGAATAGTTACAAAAAAGTCTATCACAGTGTGAGCTTTGTGCTTTAATTCGAGTCAGAGAGAAATTAGAATGAACTGTTTTGGACAAATTATGAACCTTACTGTAAAAGTCATCAGTTTAAATGCAGCAGTCAGTGTGTTGTCTTTACTTTGGGATCCTATTTGTCAGACACTTCATTGAAAATATTGTCATTTATTTCTAAAGCACTGATTGAATAAGGATTGAATAAACTTCTCATAGTTCTCTGTAGTGTTTACTATTATTCCACTTTTTTTTATGGTCAGCAGTCCACAAATGATGACGGGCATTATTGTAATAAAATGTATATTGAACAGCAATACCATATAAATCTAACTTTTAAGGTGTTATAAGGTAATTGTAAAGCGAGTTGGATCCTTTTCAAAACCCTTTAAATATATTTAAATGAAAATTCCCGAGTTTGGCTGCAGGCTCATATTGTTACTTAATGTTGCTTTACCATATTTATGATGTCTTCAGCTTTCCTATACAGTTCTATACATCTCTCTCGCTCCTTCTCTCTATCTGTCTGAGCCTCTTAACACACTGGCTCAGATTAGATCCACTCACTCTGTTGGGTTTAGAGCCATTAGCTTAATTAGAGACTAGACGTTCAATTCACTGTCAGATATCTTGATCCGTTGGCTGCCTTTCAGTCGTCTAACCTAAAGTACGTAAAGGTTTCATCATACTGCCTCTGTGGATAATGCAGCGTATCCTGGGCAAGCCCGTTACAAATTATCTGTCAGTGACAGACGTGCAGAGGTGAAGGCATAGCAGTAATTTGATTCTTGATTCTTTTTAGATACTTTCATGGGAAAATATCATTACACTGGTTCCACTACATAAGAATTTTTGGTTAATATAAGCCATTGGCTGACACATATTGTAATAAATACTATAAAGCACAACTGATGGCAGATGAGGGACTCAGCTCCCTCCAGCTGGAGCAAATAGCTGTTCAGTTCCTTTTAAAACGCCTAATCAACCAGCTGAGCAGAGGCCGCCTAACCTTCACACACAGTCGGACTAGAAGCAGTCACTTGGCTGAAGGACTTTGTATTAGCTAAATGAAAGCCGTAGATCATACTGCCAGTATATCTCGCAAACACTGTGTCTATCTGTGTGCCCTTTTTTTTTGCTGGATATGCACTTATCACACAGCTCTGCCTCCACATAAATGTATTTAAAGTTGTAATTTGTAATTGGACACATGCAGATAGAGACAAAATTCCATATATAGTATATAAAACACAACACGTGCAAGTTAAAAGCAATACAAATTAGGATCAGGGTTCTGTAGATGCTGTACCATCTGTTGCAGGACTTCTTGTTCTTCTTGTCCCTGAAGATAGTTCTGTGTGTCTCCTACTCAGTGTTTGGAGTCGCTGTTCTCCATGCACAATGTGAGGCCAGTCAGAAGCCTCCCTAATGGTATTACATAATCGGTGAGACTCCAAACATTTGAAGTGGCTGAAACTTTATTGCACCTTCATTTGGATGGACAACCATAACATACTGTATAGGTTAAGATACGATGGTCGCTGGTCTAATCCCTAAAAGCAGATTAGAGTATTAACCCTTCTGAGCTCAGAAAGGACAACAGCTCGTACTGTACTAATCTGCACACACACACACACACACACACACACACACACACACACACACACACACACACACACAGAATATTAATTGTGACTTTAAATGAGCCGGTGAAACCTTTATGTGGATAAGTGGATTAATACCGTTGATTGTGTCAAAGAAGGCTGTCAATTAAAGTTTCTTAATTACTTCAGCAGCTTGTGGAACATCATACATACTGATCACATACATATTTGACCAACTCGACACCCTGTTCTTTTATTAGTCATGACAGTTTGCCCTCAGTAACATGACTATCATGAGCAACCTTGCCACATTGTAACTATACATCCTTTTTTTTTGCTTCTGTTTATGATAAATGAAGTTCTGTGTCTCTGTTTAGTGTGCGGCTGTGACTTGGTGCATGCGGGTTTCTTCCACCACTCTGGTGAGTACATCTGTACAAAGGACTACCAGCGGCTCTACGGGACCCAGTGTGACAGCTGTAACCAGTACATCACCGGAGAGGTGGTGTCTGCCCTGGGGAGAACGTACCACCCAGACTGCTTTGTCTGCAGCATCTGCAAGTAAGGAATGAATGTTTCTTCATGTAGACCTAAATGCTGGCAGGCAGATAGTCAAACAGGCAGTCAAAGTAAAAAAAGTTATTTGAACTCGCATTCATCTTGTAAATCTATACTTAGTAGTAGTCTGTCTGAGATCAGTTATAAATCCAGATGAAGGGATCAGACAAAAAAAAAAGAAAAGAATAAAATCCACAGTTTAATAATCACAGTGGGGATTGAAGACCGGTCAGGACAGGTTGTCTGATGACTTACTCGAGTGGCAAGGTTCAGTGTTCTGGTGCTCCTGGTGTCAGCAGATTTATGGATCATGACATAAAAGTATTATTTAACCGAGGGGATTATCTTACTCTAACCTTAAAGAAGTGCTGTGAGTCCATAAATACAACTTAACTAAAGTTGCTTAAACATGACGATCAACAAGTAGATATTGTGAGCAAAATGAACTATTCAGAAAATTAACAGACTTACTCTGTGTGAATGTTTTCTGTCATAACACAGAGATGCAAACCTTTCAAAAAAAATGATTGATTAAAAACATAATTGCAAGATGTTTGTGTTGAAATTCTGCTGCACATAAAAATGATCCCTGGCCTGAGTGTAGTGGTTTACATGTTTGCTTGCCAAGTGAAAAGATGCTGCTTCATTTCCAGCCGGAGGCACAGATCCCCTTTGGGGTTGTGTCATGAAGGGCATCTGGTGTAAAGCTCAGCCAAATTAAACCTGCAGAGCTGCCTGCTGTGGTGACCCCTTGTGGCAAGGCAGCATTTTTTAAAAGTAAGACATCGTAGTTGTTTCTCACACGACTTTAGAAGAGGCCTGCTTACATTACTGTGTACGAGTAAGCTGTGTGTTAAAATGTTCTTGGTTTCTTAAGAACAGCTCCTGTGTCTGCCTCACGGGCTCTGTGCTCGCCTCTGCTTTTACCCTGAAATATTATCCCATACCTCACTGGGTATGAAGCGTTATTCATTTTAACTGTTACGCACTGAGAATCTGACAAAGATTTCCAGAGCTGAGAGCAACATTTAATCCTCGCAACTTTGACATCAGCCTGGAGATCTCGTTTTATACCTTGCTACATTCAAACTGCAGAAATACTCCTCTGACACTGCTGATGGTAGTTTTTGACAGTATTTATGTTATTAAAAATGTCCCAGTGTAAAAAAAGAATTTGCTAAATGTTAGTTTTCAATGCTGGGAAAGACAAATTTTCATGTATAATGTAAGGGTAGCAGAAATAATGGCAAATATTGTGTGAAACTTCTGCTAAAGAAACTTGGAATTACCTGCACCAATACTACTTACGTACATCAATACTGTTCAACTTGGGAGTACAAGCAAATTGGAATTTCGTGTGTTTTCTGATTGGGTAAACTGTGAATTTCTGTATTGCCCTATCTGCATTCTGCATGGCATTACTGAAATGTTTTTTTTTATGCGTGCTTTCTCAGAAGCCCATTTCCAATTGGAGACAGAGTGACCTTCTGTGGGAAAAAGTGTGTGTGTCAGCAGTGTTCACTTTCTCTGAACAGCGACAAGCCCGTCAAGGTCCACGGACCAAGCTGTAAGAAACAAACACGCACACACACAAATGAAAATATACGCTCACTGACGTGTGCAACACCATACACAGCAACAACATATCTCACATTTTCTTCACTAGACATAAAGGATAAGCCAACACACATTATCCAGTTCTTCAAAAGCTGTGCAGGTATTACTTTGTAATAATTATTTTTCTATTAATATTTCAAGGAAATGCATGGTGTTTTAAATAGAATATACTCAACTCAAAGGTTCATTTACTAGCCTGTAGAATAAGCAAAATGTCGTGTTTTATACTCCAACAAATTAAAGAAATGGAAGAAATAAATATGTGTCCAGCTTTAAGTATTTAAGTTTGTGTGTGTAACTAAATCCCATCAAATCCCATTCATCAAACCTAACACAAGCAGAAGAAGATTAATTTTACAGCACTTTGCCAGATCATCTTCTTTTTTTAAAAGCTATAAGCTATGGTTTTTCCCTGCCTAATGATATTTAACTGACTCATATCCTTGTGATTCATCCAGCATGTAAGACTGTTTGTTCCCCTACAAATGAACACCTAGAGTTGCACAGTCCACCTGCTGAACGCTGCAAAAACACAGCATCTTTGTAGGTGTGTAGCTGCAGGGAGATACTTCCAAACACACCCACAAACACAGAAGGTGGCCTGCTGCTTCAGGTAGTCCTGGTAGCTCCATCTGGCAGAGACAGTGTGACTGTCACGACAGGAGAGAGGGATGAGGAAGAGAGGAGGAGGAGGTAGAGAAGTGATGAGAGGTTGGCAGAGCAGAAAGGCAAGGACATAAAAGGGGAGTGATAAATGCATAAATGCTCAAAGTGTTCCTGCCTGTTCCTATCGTACATGTGTGCGTTCTCATTACCGCGCTTCCTGCTTTTCCTCTCCCCTCTCCTCCCCTCCAGACTGTGCCGGCTGTGGTGAGGAGATCAAACAGGGTCAGTCTCTGCTGGCTTTGGAGAGACAGTGGCACGTCAGTTGTTTTAAATGCCGAACATGCGGCTGCGCCCTCACTGGAGAGTACATCAGCAAGTAGGTGGCTTGATCCTTCCTATCTCAAGTCAGTCATAGGTGTGTTTGGGCAAATATCAAACGTTTCTTCAAGCAATCCACATCAAAAGCCACTGCACAGAAACTGCCTCCTGTATCCAGACTTTTAATTCTGAAACTACCGTACTAGAAAATTGGACGTTTAAAACATTTGTCATCAAGTTGTGGAAAGGTTGCTGTTTTTTACTCATTTTTCTACTATTTACTATCAAAATTAAATTGAAAGGTAGCACTTGCTTTGTAAATCTTTACAGGATGAATAGTAGTGGAGTAAACTGTGAGCTTTTTGTCTTTCTCACTGTTTCTCACTGTTCAGAGATGGGATACCTTACTGTGAGACTGACTACCACAGTCAGTTTGGGATCAGGTGTGAGAGCTGTAACAGGTACATAAGTGGCAAAGTACTTGAGGTGAGTGCATTTTTCTGTTGTGTATGTGTGCTTTTGGGAATATGCGTGCATGCTTAAAGACAGCTGGGAATGCCAGTGGGAATGTGCGTGTTCTGTGCTTGTCAGTGTGAGCTGGTCTATAAAAAGCTGCAAAAAAATGCAGCTGTCCCTCTTTAAATGAAGTGCTGACTGATGACGAAGCAGCTTTGGAAACCCGACAAAGCAACACTTCCCCATCTCCTTCACACTATTCATCTTTTTTTCTTATCATGCCTCTCCTACTTCTTCACTCTGCATTGTTTTTCTGTTTCTTATCACCACTCTGTTCCTGTTTTCTCATCTGTATCATTTGGTTTTGCCATTTTGTGTCTGATTTTCCTTTCCTTTCCTGCAGGCTGGAGGAAAACATTACCACCCCAGCTGTGCGAGATGTGCCCGCTGTCACATGATGTTCCTAGAAGGAGAAGAAATGTACCTGACAGGTAATCAGGATATTGTGTGTGGTAACTAGCAAAATAAGTTTCCCTTGTATGAAGTGGAAGAAAATTCCACTATCAACCTGAACCTGGATAAAACAAAGCTTAACATTTAATAATAATTATAACTTCTGAATATAAAAGTCTGAATATATTTGTTAGGAAATCAATTTAGTCTGAATTTATGTCTCTATAATCACAAATGTGCTTCTGCATTTGTACAGTTAACAGGCATAAAAATAGACTTCTAGCTTCAATTGAATTAGTACCCTGCAAGTATCCAGATGGCCTCTGTGTGATTCTGCATCTGTGGAAGTGTGTGTGTGTGTGTGTGTTGGTATTACTAATGTTGTGGGGACATTAACATGTTTACTCATATTTTGAGGACAAGCTTCCCTTTTGGGGACAAAAGCAAATACTTATAATAATTTAATGACTTACATCTAGGTAAGTGTATATGGATGTGTATGTTTACACCTGTGGTGGACACAGACATAAGACTGAGATTTAGATCTTGGTACTTGGCTAAAATGTCCTCAGTTCCAACTAATGTACCATGCTTCATTTCCTGAAACCTCTGCAAAGGACTGCATGAGAAGGATTTGGGGGTTTATGTCTGAGTGTGTGTGTATGTGTATATATTAAAAAAAGACCAGGAATGTCAGTGAACAATACCTTGACCTAATAAAAGATTGCGGTAACAGCCATTATATAGGTTATTGATCTCAAGTATAACACTTGTGGTAAATACACAGAAACCCACACATCCCCCTCCTCTGTCACACACAGAGGTTGGAGTCAATTACCTGTCAGCCTTCACCTCCTCCACTGTTTCCATTACTCTCAGCTGTCACTGACAGAATTATCCTAATTGATGTTACCATCACCAGGTTTTAAATTGAATCATCCAGGAAATGTTGTTTTATAAATCAGATAACAATGACTAAAGTTAATGAGTTCAATCATGGAGATACATGAAGATAAAGAAAAATCTTGTTGTGTATATATCTGATGAATTTAGTCCCACATATTCAAAGAGCATGCAACATTTATATCATGATAATACTGCTAAGTATGTATTAAAATTGTCAGATTTCTTATACCTGACAGGTGTGTTCACCTGTCACAGAACAAAGAGTTTTTATACAGTCTGACAGAGAACAGCAGGAAGATTTCCTGAAGCGTTATTTATGGTGATTGGGTTGAATCAGTCAGAGGGATAAGGAGCTCTGCTTCCTTAGTAGTGTGGAGTGGAGGGAGTTGTGATGGGTTGTCCATAATGGAGAGCAGTTTGTTCAGTGACCTCCTGTCCCTCACTGACTCAAACGGCTCCTAATTCTTGCCAGTGATGGTTCCAGCCTTGTGAATCAATTTGTTGATCCTACTGGCATCTCTGGTGCTGATGCTGCCCTGCCTAGAAGACAACAGCAAAGAAGAAATACAAATAACAAACAGGGAGTGAAACATTATAAAAAAAATCTAAAATACAGAAAATGTGTACAAAAACTTTACAAATAACAAACGTACTGGAAGGCATACTATGAAGAACATATGGGAAAAACATGGGTGCACTGCACACAGAAAGAACTGAGGTTAAACAGTGGCTAAATACACAAGTGGAACCTAATTCGTGAAAACAATTAGAAAAAAGCAGCAAATCACAGCAGTGAGTAAAGACAAGAAGCAAACCAACTGGACACATGAGAAAAGAGACTGCTGAATAAAACAGGAAGTGACCAAAGGAGCACACACAGACCCGGAGTGGGTGGCTGGAACACACACCAAGAAAATACAAGATGAAAACAGATATTATAAAATAGTGCAAGTGATAAAAAAAAAAAAAAGTAGGACAGGACAAGAAAAAAAAATTGTGAACACTTGGCCTAATGGAGGGAAATTTAAATTTAATATTAAGTTGCTGTACCATAACATGTGGCCGACAGACACAGTGTCAGAGTTGCCACACAGGGTGGCACCTCCTGTTTCAGCTCATTGTCATTCTGCTGCTCTACCTCTCAAAGCCACCAGTAAAACTAAGCATTTGCATATAGTACTTGAAGACCACATATGTGAGCTTTTTAATCTATACCTGTAAGCGTGTACATTGTATTCTTTATAGATGTGTTTGAGACTAATATGTGTGTCTGTGTGCTGAGCTCCTGTAAACTGCCCCAAGGTTACATTCACTCCTTTTGATTACTTTAGACATGTAGGAGGCCCGAGCAATCACCCACGTGAGGCACACTCAATTACAACACACACACACATACACCCACTCGTACATGCACACACAAACTCGAAATCCATCTCATGACACATGTCTAGAATAAGAAGTGGTTTGTGTGTGCAAGTGCATACAAAAACTGGTTTGTGTGGTGATAGGGATTAGGGATGGGAATTGATGAGAATTTAGAGATTCCAATTCCATTATTTGATCCCTTATCGATTCTCTTATCGATTCTCATGAGGTTCTCATTGGCTCAGTTTCGAGAGTCACCATCATTGCTAAGCAGCAGTAAAGAAAATAC